AAGCGGCGGGGGCGGCTTCGAAGGGGGAAGACCGGCCCCCTCCCTCCCCTCTCAGAAAGGCGAGGCGGAACTCCAACCGACGGCCCGGTGGACCCTAGCCGGCTCCGGCCTCTTTGCAGGCGTGACCCGCCCGGTGGACGGAGGCTGCCCTGGCGCAGCAGTTCTCGCTTGGCCTCGGCAGCAGATCCGCGGTGCGGGAAAGGAACGAGAAAAAGGCCGAAACTGCTGCCCGGTTTTTGGACGGGCTACGTCGAGCGGCTGCTGGGGGACAAGGGGGCGGCCACCGGGCCCCGGGACCGTTTTCTACAAGAGCAGGGCGGAGGGGAGGCAAAGTTCAGCCGGCCTGCGGGGAGCGGAAGAGATGAAAGGGCGCTGCGAGGAGGCGCGGGATGTTTTCCAGCTTGTGGCCAGAGACCGATCCAGGTGTCCCCATGTTTCGCAGGAGGGGAAGGGGAGGAAGCGCTGCTGCTCCCGAGGTCAGGGAGATAGATCAGCGCGATTCCGCTGAGGCGCATTTGGGAGGAGGTCGCCGCCCACACGCGCCCGCCCAGCCCGCGAGGAGGGGCTCAGACGAAGCCCGACGGTAGCCCGTGGGCCGGGGGGGGGCACCTCTACTCCGCGCCCTTTCTGTGCAGCCTTGGGCACAGGGCGGCTCCCGTGGGACGTGGGGGCGCGAGGAAGAGGGCGGGAGGCTCCAGTCGCCGTCCGGCTGCCCCGCTTCCCTTGAACACCCGTTGGCCAGACCCCTCTCGTTCCCTGAGATCGGGGGAGGGGGCGACGTTCTCTCGCTCTCTCTGCGCGGAGCCCGGGGGAGGGGGCGCGAGGCCCGTTACAGCAGGGGGAATGCCCGAGAGGCGCGTGAACGGAGGGCTGTCGGCGTGGCCCTGGGTGAAAGCGAAAAGGAGCCCTGATGAACGAGAGGGTCGCGGGTGGAACTGGAGGGGGCCGAGCGCGGTTGAGACGGGAGCCCAGCCTTGCTCTGTCCCTCGTCGGATCGGACACCAAAAGCTGATGGAGGGACACGGCCGTCGCCCGCCCGCCTCCCCTCCCCCCGCGCCCAGCAATGTAATCACTTCGAGCAGAGCCCTGAGACGAGAGGAATAAAGTTGGGCCTGGGGGAGGGGGGAAGTAGCGGGGAAAGCTTTAATCCCAGTGAGTAGATATTACAGAGATTAGAGGAATCTAATCCCCAGGTTATCTGTCACTGATGCGATAAAGCGGTTGTGCGAACAAGGCCCAGCGGGAGCCGGAGCGGGAAGCGGAGCGTCTGGGGCCCCGGCCGATCCAGGGACCGCTGAGCCGGGCCGGAAAGGGAAGCCGTCCCGCTGTCTCCTGGCTCCCCTGGCCTCCTGCCTCCCCCAGGCTCTTTTAGGCCAGAGGCCAGGGGCTCGGAAAGTTACCTCGTTGGACTACAAGTCCCAGTGTCCCCCACTGTCTTAGAGGATTCTGGGAAATGGAGTGTGTGTGTGTGTGTGGGGGGGAAGAGTCCTTCCTAACCTCTGGCGGAGTCCCGGCCTTCGCCGAAAAGAGATACGTATGCGCTGGGGAGGGCGCGCGGGGGGGGGCAAGCCCTGCTCCAGAGGCACCCTCTCAGCTAGGAGAGGAGAGGGGTCCGGCCGGGGAGGCCGGAGAAAGGAGCGGCGCTCCCCTTGGCCCACCGGCAAGGGGACCCGGGACAAGGAAACGGGCGAGCATCCTCCCCGGAGTGGCCCAAACGTGGCGGGAGAAGGGGCCGACGCCGGCGGCGCAGATGGCGCGTCTGGAGAAATGGCGGCTGTTTGCAAACACGGGCAAGCAAAACGGGAGGCGGTGGGCAGAGGATGCGCGGGAAGTTGGTCGGCGCGCGTCTGGGCGGCCGCGTTGGCCAAGACCCGGTTGGGGAGACCGCCTCGCCTCGCTGGCTTGGAAGCCTCCTGCCCGAACAAGAACGGGGGGGGGGGGGGGGGGGGGGGGGGGGCGCCGGGTCCGCCGCAAAACTTGGTGTAGCCTTGGATCTGCCACGCTCAGCCCGGCCTACCTGGCAAGGAGGTCTTTGGGAGGATACAATGGGGAGGGGGAGGAGAGCTGTGTGTCCCCGCCCCCCCGCCCCCCCCCATGTTGTGCGTTTGTGTTTAGCTACGGTCCCTGGGCGGTCAGTCCCAGCGCAGACTGCCACAAAGATCTGACCCTGGGAAACCTCAGAAATAGCTCCAGGGAGGAGGGCTGCTCTTGGCAGACAGAAACAGGGAAGGAAGCTTCGGTGTGAAACGCTGAGCCGGAGCCTCGATCCCTCCGGGAGGGGCGGGAAAAAACAGCGGGCCAAGGGCGGAGCAGCCCTTGTTCTGACAGCCGAAGCCCACCCGCTGTTTGGGGCAGAGAGGGGCTTGGAGGTGCCCAGGCCAACAAGTGGCTGGGATTCCAGCAGGAGAGGAATGTCCGGGGCCACTGGGCGTCACTGCCCTCCAGAGAAGGGAGGTTCCTGGGGATGAACTACAAGAGGAGACCCCCTGGCAGCCTTTCTCCTCCCCTCCCCGCCCGCCTTCTCCTCCTCAGGGAGGGGGCGGATAAAGTACATATTGGGAAGTCCCTCCCCACCAAATTAACTCCCCAGGCGTTTGAAGTTTCCCTGCTGCTCATTTAAATGCAGCTTCTAATGATCTCCTGTTTCCCAGCTGGGAGCCACAAAGGATCCCAAAGCAGAAGGATCCACTAATCACACCTTGATTGCTTTTATGCAGCTCATTAAGAAAATTCTTCGGCTTGTTATGTTGGGGAGGGGGGGAGTGTGAGGAGACATGGACGCTCAGACCCAGATCTTGGAGTAAGTTGGGAGGCCTGAAAACGGGAGTAATTAGCTTCTCAAAGAGTGGCATGGGGCAGGTGAAAAAAGGGGGGCAGATCTTTTGCACCACTGCTGGTTGTGGGAGATGCCTGCCCTGCAAGTTCTCTCTTGCAAGCCACTGTGAATGCTGGAGGAGCACCCACCCACCCACCGACCCACTTTTGACCTGCCCCCTCCAGGAAACCCTGTCCTTTTTTTCTCTGGGTTAGACCTGAGAACACAACCAGCTCATGATCAGGAGAAAGAGCTCCTTAAGTGCGGAAAACGTCTGATTGGCACAGCTGGGGCCTTGACCGGTCTTCTGCACTCTGCTTTGTGATTGGCCTTCAGAGCCTTCCTTCAGCCTGGGCTTCGTTTGCAAGTCTGGCCATCCTGTCAGGAAGGGCTCCTTGAGCCACATCCCCTCCAGCTCTCAGGGATCCACCCCCCCCAACTTCTTGTTTGGCCTTGAGCTACAGGCCTTCTTTCCCCCCCCCCTCCACACACACACACCAAGGAAGGAGACCAGAAAGAAAGCTGACCGTGGAAGGAAGGAAGGAAGGAAGGAAGGAAGAAAGAAAGAAAGAAAGAAAGAAAGAAAGAAAGAAAGAAAGAAAGAAAGAAAGAAAGAAAGAAAGAAAGAAAGAAAGAGTACTGGGGGGCCCCTCCTCTCCCCCCTCCCCACCAGCAAGTCTTCTTCTGGGACTGCACCCATCCTGGCTCTAGCGCTGCAACCACGGCTTTCTTCTTCAGATCAGGAAGAGCCTTTTGTCAAAATCTTTTTAATGGGCTTGAAAGGAGAACAGAGAGCTTTCAGAACTCACCAAATCAAAGCCGAGTGGCTCCCAGCCACTCCCAGCAGCTCCCAGTTCTGTCCTGATTAATGATGGCTCAGTGCTGGCATGCAGTGTGTGGGGGGGGAGGCGTTGTGAAAGAACAGGACTAGGGTGAGGAAGCAATATTGAATCAAGCCCTTTTTATAGCAGGCCAAGAATCAAAGCCACATGTTTCTCTTTCATGTGAAAAGCTGATGCGAGCCCCACGTCTCCCTCCCTCCCGCCCCCTGCACATCTGCGACTCAACTTCCCATTCTGAGCACATTCAGCTCCCTCTCTCTTCCCCCCCCCAATCCCTTCTCCCACTGCGTCTGCTGGTGCCGGAACACAAGACTTGGTTGGGGTGGAGTGAGGCCTGTGGCTGTCCTTTTCCCCGCTGCCACAGCATCCGAGCCCTGGGGGTGGGTAAAGTTCTCCACCTCCACTCTGCGGCTGGGACCCCTGCCCCCACCCCTCTCTCTCGAAGTCACTGCTGCTGCTGCTGCTGCTGC